ATAAATAAATAAATAAATAAATAAATAAATAAATAAATAAATAAATAAACAAACAAACAAACAAACAAACAAACGGATCTGTGTATGCTTTATAAGCCTCATGGAATATGGGGACATGAGCAATGAGTCGCCTCCTTATAATACTTGTCTTATCCATGTTTGTGTGCTGATTTGTCTCCAACACACACACACACACACACACACACACACACACACACACATATATATATATATATGCACACACACACTCAAGCACAGACACAGCAGCTCTAAGTGCACCATTGTCCAGGCATCTTCAATTATCCTGCACCTGAGCCTCTGTCTGCAGGTAAGAAGCTTTCAGGACGTTCCTCCTCTTCTTCCTCCTCCTCATCATCTTCATCCGCTCCTGCAGACAGTCTTCCAGACTCTGGAATGGTCATTTCCTCCCTGAGGTCTGCTGTAACCCTTGGAGAGCGCCGGGCTCTGGTTCCCACACACACACACACACACACACACACACACACACACACACACACACACACACAGGTAGACATTGAGGATCTGCAGGATGGATCAGCTTTCCCTCAGAGAGACTCTCATTAGTTAATCGACTGAAGCGCAGAGCAAGTGTGTGTGTATCGGTTACAGCAGGACTCACCTGTGCGCGCACACACACACACACACACACACACACTGAGCCTCTGAAAGTGAAAGTCGTCCATCATGACAGCGCTCCTGCGCTCTGGAGTAACCCTCTCTTACCTTCAGCAGGTGAACAGCGCTGTGTGTTTCAGCCGACACTCGCCCGAGTCACAGCTACATCAGTGTGGACACACACATCAGCGTGCGCTGGCCTGCAGTTTCTGTAGGTGGAGTGAACACTAGGGGGCAGTGTGTGGTGATGAGTGTCATTGTTAGCGTAGGGAGTCAGATTATCAGGGATTATTTCAGTGTTTTTCCCACGACACCAGATAAATCCCTCAAGCACTGTAAGAGTGTGTATGACATGTAACTGAACACGTTTACGTCGCCCGCTTATCTTCATATGCACAACTATTCTGATGTGGTCAGTGTGTGCAGAGCTCAGGTATACAGGCGATATAACACATAACAGGTGAAAGCGATGTAAAATTAAGGTAAAACTGCGCAACCGCTGCCTTCTGGGTTCAGTGATGTATTTGAGATGTGCACAAGTGTAGACAGCGCCCTCTAGTGGATCTGTCCTCCCACTTCTGGACACATGTTATCCTGTGCTTGCAGGACATCATATAAACCCCACAGAACACTTTCTCTGAGAGTAATAATTGAATAGGCGACGCAGTGGCGCAGTAGGTAGTGCTGTCGCCTCACAGCAAGAAGATCGCTGGTTCGAGTCTCGGCTGGGTCAGCTGGTGTTTCTGTGTGGAGTTTGCATGTTCTCCCTGTGTTTACGTGGGTTTCACCCACAGTCCAAACACATCCGCTATAGGGAAATTGGGTAATGAGTGTGTATGCAGTGGCGTAGCGGACGGGCCCGCAGGGCACGCACCGCGGGGGGGCCCCGCGTGATTAGGGGGCCCCGCGTCGTCGCGATTTTCAATAAACTGTTGGGAACTGTGGTCGGAACCAAAGTTCACACGTCTGTGTTCTCTGAACACCTCTCAAGTGGTGGACTACTTCATTCTGATTGCTTGCCGCCAATGTTGCCAACTTAGCGACTTTGTCACTAGATTTAGCGACTTTTCAGACACCCCTAGCGACAAATCTAGCGACTTTTTTGTGTGTTATTGGAGATTTTTTTAGACTGTCATTTTTCCATACCGTACCGTTCCTACTCTTCTCAACGAGCTGCGTGTGATGCCGCCGGCCCCTCCCCCGCCTCACAGCACTGACAGGCGGCCCAGTCAGTCCTCGTACAGCAGCCTCTCCCACCTGCAGCCCGAGAGCAGATCACCCCTCTGCGTACCGACGACAAATGATTTAGCACAGGCAGTGTGAAGGTATTTCCCTTGTACAGTCAAACCGATCTACTTCTACTTTATTTTAACAATTTATTTGGACCGTTTATTCTTTTCTTGTTCACAATCACAGATATTTTAGTGACAGTTTCTGAACTTGTCTGAGTTTAATACATATGAGAGATTACTGCACATTCACTAACGTTACACATCTATAATGTTATACTGTATTCAAACAGCAATAAATTTAGTTAAATAAACATGCTTATATAAAGTGTAGTGCAATTATAAATACCCCTTTATTTACCATAGGCTGTTAAACAGAAACGGTAGAACGTGATGACGTCAATGATATGCAAATTAACGTATGACGTACCCCATCTCCCCCCCCCCCCCCCCCCCCAATCATCAGGGGGCCCCGTCAGCGATCCCTGCAGGGGGGCCTCCGCATTTTGCGCTACGCCACTGTGTGTATGGATGTTTCCCAGAGATGGGTTGCGGCTGGAAGAGCATCCGCTGCGTAAAAAACGTGCTGAATAAGTTGGCGGTTCATTCCACTGTGGTAACCCCAAATTAATAAAGGGACTAAGCCGAAAAGAAAATGAATGAATGAGTAATAACTGAATGCTGTTATCTCTCTGATCTTGGTGTAAATGATGTTTCTGGCGTGGGCAGTTTGCTCGACTCTAACCAGATGTTGTACTTGGGACTCAGATCACCCGGGTTTGAGTCCAGTGCAGGACGGTACCTTATTCCAGTGACATTACAGCAATACTGTGGAGGTCAATGGCTGTTCTTAAAGCATTCTTCAGTATATTATAAAGAAATTGGATGTCTTGACATCAGCTAGCATGTGTGATAGATTATTTAGTTTGGTCATCCCATGACAAAAATAAAAGAAAGTTTTGCAAACAAAAAAAAAGTATTGAGCAAAAAATAAATAAATATATGCAAATCTCCAAAAATCAAATATTAAAAAGTGAATATTAATTTTTTAGGAAATAAAAAATAGGTTTTGAGAAATAAAAATGAAATTTGCAAAAAATAAAAAAATCAAACAGTGCAAAAAAAAAAAAAAAATATTTGCAACTTTAAAAAAACTATATATATATATATATATACATCTGCAAAACATTTTATAGCATCGCCTTCACAAAAGGCCTGCTGTAAACGCCCGAGTTCCCTTGACACCGCCACTTTGTCAAATCATGGACACAAAGTGAACCGCCCAGAAATGTGAAGTGCAAAGAGAAAACAGCATCAGAAACTCACGGCGGACTGAAAAGCACATCAAAATGAGCTCTGCAATCCACTGGACGGGTTTTGTGAAGGTGATGCTATGAAAATGTTTCGCAGATATATAGTTTCTTTAAAACTGCAAATATATATATATTTTTTTGACTTTTTGATTTTCATTTGCAGCTCTTTTATTAATTGTAAATCACATTTTTATTTCTCAAAACTGAATTTTAAGTAAAACTAAATTTGCATTCATTTATTTATTTTTTGCTCAATATTTTATATCTTGTTTGCAAATCTTTCCTTCATTTTGCAAGTAAATAAGTCCCTAAATAGACTCCATATAGTTCAACTGAAAATGAAAATATACTTACTGTTTACCCAAGCGGTTCCAAACTTATAAGAGTTTCTTTCTTCTGTTAGACCAGAAAAATGTTGTAAACCTGTAACCACTGACTTCCACTGTACTGGTTTTCCTGCAGTTTTACAACATTTGTGTTCAAATATCTTCATTTGTGTTCAACAGAAGAAAGAAACATAAAGTAAACGAAAAGTAAAGTTTTGGAACTACTGCACTCGCTGACCAGAGTCTTGTGGAGGATCTCAGCTGTGACAGCAGCAGATCACAACTCATCTCCTAGTGGATCATCAAGTGTCAGAAGGAGGATTTCTGCTGATCTGCATCCCGATCATCACCAATACTGCAGAAGACCTACTGGAACCTAGAGTCTCACTGAAATCAGTCAAGTTTGGTGAAGGAGACATCATGGTTTGGGGTCATTCAGTATGGAGAGATCTGCCACATCAGCAGCCTGAGGTATCAAGACATCTGTGCTGCCCATTACATTACAAACCACAGGAGAGGACAATTCTCCAGCAGGATAGCGCTCCTGCTCATACTTCAGCCTCCACATCAAAGCTCCTGAAGGTCAAGCTGCTCCAGGATTGGCCAGCCCAGTCACCAGACATTAACATTATTGAGCTGATGAAGGAGGAGGTGTTGAAGATGAACACAGAGACTCTTGATGAACTCTGGGATCCTGCTGAAGCTTTCTTCTTCATTCCAGATGACTTTATTAATCAGTGATGTGAGTCATGTCAGAGATGTATGGATGCAGTCCTCCAAGCTCATGATGGAGTCAGACACAATCTTCATTCTGTCTCCACTGCAGCAGGACTTTATATTCTATACTGGACATTATTTCTGTTCAGTGATGACACTTTAGTCTGAGCAGAGTCAGACCGCACTGTCCTCATCAAATTAGTCAACATCAAGACATGATCAGATTTATTGAGCTCATCTAGAGGCCTTCACCTTTCATAGAGACACTTCTGACACCAGATCAGCAACTAGAAGAGCACTAGGAGAGGCCACAAGACTTCAGTCAGGCGGTGTAGATTACGTAAATGTAAAGTAAATCATGAGTATTTTTGGGTGAAATCTG